CATCTTTTCTGAAGAAAACCTTCTTATGACATTCCATCTTCTTTCCTTCCAATGGGAAATGTAACTACCCAACCACCCACATAAGAGTCCACAGGAAAGATTTCAGTAGCTAAAACAATGGTGATATGGTTTAGCTGTATCCCCACCCAAATCTCAACTTGAATCACATCTCCCAGAATTCCCATGTGTTGTGGGAGGGGTAGGTAACTGAATCATGGGGCCAGCCATTCCCATGCTATTCTCTTGATAGTGAATAAGTCTCATGAGAACTGATGGGTTTATCAGGGGTTTCTGCTTTTGCTTCCTCCTAATTTTCCTTGCCACCATGATGTAAGAAGTGCCTTTGGCTTCCCACCATGATTCTGAGGCCTCACCAGCCATGTGGAATTGTAAGTCCAATTAAACCCCTTTTTTCTTCCCAGTCTCAGGTATGTCTTTATTATCAGCCTGAAAACTGACTGATAGAGTAAATTGGTACCAGTAGAACGGGGTGTTGCTGAAAAGATACCTGAAAATTAGGAGGCAACTTTGAAACTGGGTAACAGGCAGATGTTGGAACAGTTTGGAGGGCTCAGAAGAAGACAGGAAAACGTGGGAAAGTTTGGAACCTCCTAGAGATTTGCTGAATTGCTTTGACAAAAATGCTGATAGTGATATGAACAATAAGATCCAGGCTGAGGTGGTGTCAGATGGAGATGGGGAACTTGTTGAGAAATGACTCTTGTGTTTTAGCAAAGAGGCTGGTGGCATTTTGCCCCTGCCCTAGAGATCTGCGAAACTTTGAACTTGAGAGAGATGATTTAGGGTATCTGGTGGAAGAAAATTCTAAGCAGCAAAGCATTCAAAAGGTAACTTGGTTGCTTTTAAAAGCATTCCATTTTGAAAGAGAAACAGAGCATAAAAGTTCAGAAAATTTGCAGTCTGACAATGCAGTAAAAAAGAAAAACCCATTTTTTGAGGAGAAATTCAAGCTGCTATAGAAATTTGCATAGGTAGCAAGAAGCCTAATGTGAATCACCAAGACCAAGCGGAAAATGTCCCAGACCTTCCCGGCAGCCCCTCTCGTCACAGGCCTGGAGGCTCAGAAGGAAAAAGTGGTTTCATGGGCAGGGCCTGGGGTCCCTGTGCTGTGTGCAGCTTATGGACTTGGTGCCTTGTGTCCCACCTACTCCAGGCATGGCTGAAAGAGACCAACATAGAACTCTGGATGTGGCTTCAGAAGGTGGAAGCCCCAAGCCTTGGCGATTTTCACGTGGTGTTGAGCCTGTGGGTGCACAGAAGTCAAGAACTGAGGTTTGGGAACCTCCACTTAGATCTCAGAAGATGTATGGAAACACCTGGATGCCCAGGCAAAAGTTTGCTGTTGGGGTGGGTCCCCCATGGAGAACCTCTGCTAGGGCAGTGCGAAAGGGAGATGTGGGGTCAGAGCCCCCATACAGAGTCCCTACTGAGACTCTGCCTAGTGGAGCTGTGAGAAGAGGGCCACTGTCCTCCAGACCCCAGAATGGTAGATCCACCAACAGCTTGCACTGTGCACCTGGAAAAGCCACAGACACTCAATGCCAGCCTGTGAAAGCGGCATTGAGTGTCTGTACAGGAGGGAGGCTGTACCCTGGAAAGCCACAGGGGTGGAGCTGTCCAAGACCATGGGAGCTCACCTCTTACATAAGCATGACCTGGATGTGAGACCTGGAGTCAAAGGAGATCATTTTAGAGCTTTAAAATTTGACTGCTCCACTGGATTTTGGACTTGCATCAGCCCTGTAGCCTCTTTGTTTTGGTCAATTTCTCCCACTTGGAATGGCTGTATTTACCCAATACCTGTACCCACATTGTATCTAGAAAGTAACTAGCTTGCTTTTGATTTTATAGGCTTATAGGCAAAGGAACTTGCCTTGTCTCAGATGAGACTTTGGACTGTGGACTTTTGGGTTAATGCTAAAATAAGTTAAGACTTTGGGGGACTGTTAGGAAGGCATGATTGGTTTTGAAATGTGAGAACATGAGATTTGGAGGAGCCAGGGGTAGAATGATATAGTTTGGCTGTGTCCCCACCCAAATCTCAACTTGAGCGGTATCTCCCAGAATTCACACGTGTTGTGGGAGGGACCCAAGGGGAGGTAACTGAATCATGGGGCCAGTCATTCCTGTGCTATTCTCGTCAGAGTGAATAAGTCTCAAGAAATCTAACGGGTTTATCAGGGGTTTCTGCTTTTGCTTCCTCCTCATTTTTCTCTTCCTGCTGCCATGTAAGAAGTGTCTTTCACATCCTGCCATGATTCTGAGGCCTCCCCAGCCAGGTGGAACTGTAAGTCCAATTAAACTCTTTTTTCTTCCCAGTCTTGGGTATGTCTTAATTAGCAGCGTGAAAATGGACTAATACAAATGGTTTATACAGTTACTTAGTAGAAAAAAAAAAGGTCTCTTCTATAGTTCAAATAAAATGTTATTCATTAGTGGGAACGAAAGTCATTTACATGTCTGAGCAGCAGGAGAAAAGACCTCAGCTACAAGCACTCCAACCACATACACACTAAATCCTGCTATTCTGCCTAAAAATTCACCCATATCAAATTTTTCTGGGTGAATCATGCAACTTAGGAAGGATAGACATTTAATACACTTTGGTAACTGTGACATAAAATTAATCTTATTATAGTGTCACTGCCAAATTACAACATCCCTTTGCTCCCTATGTAAGATGTGATCAGGACCCTGATTAGGTGGCAATCTATAGGATAGGTCAGCAATACCTGTCCTTTCTACACTTGTGAATTACTTTTGGCCTAAGGATCACTATGGGTCACTTCTAGGAGGAGAAGACCAAGCAGAAGGTACTGTTACCGCTTTTGTACGCTTTCTTCCAATTGCTCCTAAAATTTAATGCTTTAATGACTCAATCCTTCAGCAAAGCCTGAAGTCAGATTCTTTATTCAACCTCAGTATAAATGATCACCCTAAATTATTATTATTATTACTATTATTGAAGATGGTGAAGCAGGAGTCAACCAGGTATTTTCCATAAAGACAATTACTCTTGTTGTTGGATGAAGCATGGATTGAATAGTATGAGAATAGAAATAAGATAACTTAGGGGCTATCAGAGAAGATGGTGAGATGAGGAAGTAATGAATGTAACCTGGACTTGGGGAATGTTTTCACACAAAGAGAAGTGAAGGTATTAGAACAGCGGCTGCACACTGGAATAATTTGAGGAACTTTGTAAACATTCTGAAGCCCAAGGTCCACTCTAAGAGGTGCTGATTTAATTTTCTGCAGTGAAGCCTGAGCACCAGTATCTCTTCACAGTGAGGGCCGAGACCTACTGGCTCAGAGTGGACTGTGGACTGCATGGGTTAGACGTAGAAATTTACAGGAAGCATTTCTGACCATTTACAGAGAAAGAGAAGACTGGGAATCCGAAATTTTATGTGAACGGTCCTGATTTTTTGATTTGGCAGCTTCTTAATTATCATGCATATAAATTTGTGTAGGCCCAAGATAAGTAATAAAATAAATGAACTAAGGTGGATAGAACCAGTAGATGACCAGTCACGATTTCTGCCTTAAATCAGGGACATTAATCTCTTATTGTGGATTTCAGACTCTCACAGAATGTAAAAGTAAAACTCTTTGGAGAACCTTAGAAACACATCCATTAATTACTACACACAGCTCTAAGAATAAACGTGACCAGGTACATTTGGGACATTGCAATTTGAGGTGAATTTATCTATGCTCTCTCACTCTCCTTTCCTCCCATTCTGATTTAAATCACAACACTTTCCCCAAGGAAGTACAGAAACCTTCCCAAGGCCTTTGCTAAGTAGTAGAGCCAGGTCTTGAACTCATATTGATTAATTCTGGTCTGTGCTACTTCCCAATTTCCCAAACTTGATTTTCAACAGACTTTTTTTGGGGCAGGGGAGGAGGCAGAGGCAGGTGAGTTATATATATTTTTCCTGTTAAAAATAGAATTTATGGGGCACTTTTCCAAATATGTATCTGTATTTTAACAAGCCTGCTATATTTCTAATTATATTTTTAAAAGTTGCGTACAAGTAAGCAATCAATCTTGTAATAAAGTATCCCTTAGTCATTGCATACTATATATACAAACACACAAACACCTGCAATATTATGTAATAGGTGTAGTGAGATACCTATGTGTCATCTATTTTTCTATCTATCTATCTATCTATCTATCTATCTATCTATCTATCTAACCTATCTACCTACCTACATACCTATCTATGTTACATACTCACAAACAGTGCTCATCCAAGTAAGTCTAAATTAGACAGAAGCTACAGGCTGTTATATTTATATATTGGGAGAATCTACTTTCAGAATATCCCCTTCAAGATAATGCATTAAACACTGGGAGGCTGAGGTGGGTGAATCATCTAAGATTGGGAGTTATTATAAAATGCCATATATTTTTGTTCTTATGTAATATTTATGTTGTCATACACAAAGGGAATAACTGTCACAAAATCTAAGTGAGTAGTCAATTAATTGATATAATTCTATTAATTAAGTCACATAGGTAGTCATTCTGTGATTTATTACACAATTTTCTCTAAGCATGGATTGATTTAGGGAGGGAAAGAAGTTGATATTTTTTCTGTAAGAATTTTGGACTACAGATACCACACTTATACCGGAGTACAGTCATATTTCATTCATTTGATTTCCATAGATTTTTGGCTAAATCTTATTTTCACAACCACATAAGCATAGACTTTCTCCTCTCTCTTCAAATGGCTATATTCTTAATTTGAGTTTATCATATAACAAAGAAAATGAAGTATTCTTCAGGAGTTGTAGATGCCAAAATATAAACACATACTTCTAAGTAGAAAAGACAAAAGTCATCTCTGACACATGAATTTAATTGCTTAGAGCAGATTCCATTCTCAGCAATCCATGGGAAGAAATATACATCCATAGTTATGATTCAAAAGTGTCAGTAAGCATGTATTGGAGGTTTTACATACCTGTTGCAGGTGGGATCATCAAACCAATCCAATGTATCGAGAACCGTCCTGTGTGTTGAACTTTCCTTGTAGAAAGAGACCAGGTGCCACGTCACTGCAAAAGCTAAAAATGAACAAGGGAAGGGGTAAGTTTAAAATAATATAAAAGAACAAGTAGTTCACTCGGATCACTGAATTGCGAGACGAAATACTAATTACATGATAGCTTTCAAAATTGGAGATTTATTCCAGCATTTCCAAATATGCTTCATCAAAAAATTCTATTAAAACATTAAAAAAAATTTTTAAGTTCTGGGGTACATGTGCAGAACATGCAGGTTTGTTACATATTATTCTACAACACCTGTTAGTATCCCGCTGAGGGAAACAATGAGACGCTGTAACCACCTGTTTGACACAGATGCCTCAGCTTATGGTTTCTGTCACATGGTCATCTGTCCTCAGTTTGAAACTTCCAATAATTGGGAGTACGTTATAAGCGTCCCCCACAAATATGTACACATACATACATTTATATTATTAGGTTGATATAAAGCTGCTATGGTTTCGTATAAAATGACTAATGTTTTCAAAACTCATATTGAAATTTAATTGCCAGTATAACAGTAGTAAGAGGTGGGTCCTTTCAGAGGTGATTAGGCTATGAGGGCTGTGACCCGAGCGGTGGGAGAATGCTGTTACCAAAGGTTGTGTTTGTCCCCTTCCTCCCTCTTTTCCTCTTTTGCTTTTCTGCCTTCTGCCATGTGAAAACACTGCATTCTTCTGCTATGTGGTGACTCAGCAAGAAGGCCAGATACTAGCGCCTTGATCTTAGACTTTCCAGCCCCCGGAATTACAAGCCGACACATGTCTGTTGATCGCAAATTACCCAGTCTGTGGCATTTTCTTATAGCAGCACAAAACAAAGACACAACTAGGTATGAGTTTCTCCTAAAATTTATAGCAAATACTTTAAGAATCACTCACTTTACCAATTCTATTTATTTCATGGTGACCAGTCTTTGGCATTCACTCATTATTTTGAGAATATTTACTAAGCAAATAATATGAAGCAGGTATTGGGTTAAAATATTAAATAGAGGCTTAGTCCTGTTATTAAAAAGCCAAGTCTAATGAGGGAAAGAGGCCAAGTTAGATGGAGATCACTCCCATCTAGGATACGGGAAGCTAAATCATTGCCAGTCCCAGGTGCAGAGAGTTAGGTAAGGTGACGTCATAGAGCAGAGGGTCTTTAACCTGAGTCTTGTTTGCAGTGTAGGAGAGTGATGGACAGACAAAGGGAAATGGGATGGGGAGGGAGGAGAAGGAGATCTAGCTGTCACACTCCCACGCAGGAAGTTGTGAGGGGGGAGTGTCACGTGCTGAAAGCTGCCCCAATGGGGGCGCACAGCATCATGAGGAAAATCAAACTTACACACACGATGTGGCAGAATATCCTTTTATAGATTTAAATGACTGCAAATCAGCCTAACGGTACAAAGGAACGCACATACCCCAAGAATTTTCAGAATTTGAAACTCGTTCCAAAATCCTTTGTACATATTACCTCATTCTGGTTTCACGATCTCTCTGTGGGTTGGGCAGCGTAAGTTCACCTCTACCATGTACTAGGGGAGACTAAGGTTAACGAGCTTGCCCAATGCCACAGGATGATTTGTGTAGACTGGGAGGAGAGGCTAAAAGTGGGGACTGGTCCTCCTTTCATCCCAAGGAGAGCTGTGATGCTGGGGTTCTTGAAGAAGTGTGGCACAATGATGAATGTGGTATGCTGACCATAGACACTATTTCTTGACAGTGTTGTGCTGTTATGTGCTACAGAATGGGCTCTGGGCAGAAATGGACTATTTCCAGTCTCACCCTTCCTATTTCCAATGTCATAACTGCAAGCATGGGGCAGACACACTACACTGTGATCAGGTCCACATTTTTTCACCTTGTGAGTTTCAACAATAGACTTCTCTGTAATCCACATGGCAGACATTTCAGGTTACATTGTACTGTCCAGCAACTACAGAAAACCTGGTCATTCTGTCTAAATCCAGCTGTGTATGATCCTCAATCTTCCCCTGCAGACTTAATTGTTATATATGAGCTTCTCTCAAGCTTTGTGATTCCCGCCTCTGGAATCCTTAGTACTTTTGTAACTTTGCTGGTGTAGCGTCTGGGGCAAGGGCCTTTGATGCTGATAAGAAGTTAGAACTGCCTTGTCTATTCAGGTAGAAAAAGGCTAGCACTTATTTGTAACAGGTGAAAACAGGGATAGTGGGCATGGATATGGGGGGAAGACAGGCTTAATAATGCAAAAATAAAGAAACCTTCTTTATGACACTTAATAAGAGAAGGCTCATGCAAAATAATATCTAAAGGAGCCTCTGAGATTCTCCAGGGGTTGTGAAATACAGTTGTTGAAGCTGGGAAGATTGCTGAGCAGTTTTTCACCTTCCTCTTCCCCCGCTCCCATTTTTTCTTTTAAACTCCTAAAGTGGAACTGCTTAGAATATTTCCTACACAGCTCAATGTCTTATCATGAAGGTGAGAGACTAGAGAATCTTTTGGCAGCCCCTAAATTGCCTCTCCCTCATGAAAGAGGATAGAATTTGATATTTCTAATGCTTTTCCAATTGAGAAACCGTATGCTTGTTACTGGCTTTCTGATGCCTTATAACATATTAGAAATTACTTTTGGTTTCAAAGAAGAGTGATTGCTTTAAAAGGCAGTTCCTGCTACAAATTCCCTCAAGATAGAAACCAATTTCCAGATAATGAACAATAATGCCTAGAAAGCAGACACTGGGGATGAGACAGACAAAATCCAAGTGGCAGTACCATTCCGAGATGTAACTTCTAGCAATGATCTTGTCTGGCAATTGCTTGACAAACTACACTTGTTATTACAAGACTTAAGCTTGTTGTTCTTGGGTGGGAGGTAACAGAAGATTAAGCTGAAGCATTATCTGAAACCAAGACAAAGAAGCAGAAAAACAAATCAGAAAGTCTCTGAGAAACCTAATGGGCAAAAACTTGGATAATATGTTTAAAAGAGAAACTGGACTGTACAGAGCATTCAAAAATGAGCAATTTATGGAAAAGTATTAATTTTTAATGTAAATTTGGCTGGGTGAACACAAGAAAACTCATGGGGTGAACAGAACTGACCTCAGTGATTTGCAATCTAATTCAGCACTTGCTATAGAGAGATCAGGTTTCTAGAGAACACTGATAACTGGGCCCTATTAACATAAATTCTGGCATGAGAAAGTGGGGTCTAGAAAACTTTGTATCAAAAGAACTCGAATGGATAATCCATGCAAGAAGAAGTCAGGAGTAGGAGGGGAGGTAGATAAAATTAGAGAAGCAGAGACAGCGAGGAGGGGTAATAACGTCCTGTATGGCCACCAAACCACAAGGCATTGATTAACTCACCAAATCGTTTCAGCATGCTTGTAACGGAGACACCATTGTTACCAATTTGCCAATGAAGAAATCTTTTTTGTGAGAGACTCATCCACTTGACATACAACAGGAAGAGACCTGAATTGGGATTCGAAACTGTTTGTCTGACGCTTAGGTGATTTTTCTAATTAAGCCACACTAATTTTCAAATAGTAAGTACCAAGTATCTTTTACCTCAATAACACTCAAAGAAACACAAATAAAAACAAAAATGACACAAGTTGCACTAGCTGCCAGGATAATTAACAAAAAATGATGAAACTTGGAAAAAGAACTAACAAATTTATGTTTTCTAGTGGTCCTGTAAATATGTACAGCCCAGCAAATCACTAATCTGACTTGTACCTATATTGGGCCCTTAAATATATTCCTATCTGTGGGTCTACTAATCCCACTCACAAATTATTTCATGACAATAATTTAAAGTTAAAAAAATGGCATTCCTAGGAAAATGATCACTGCAGCATTACAGGTTGAGTATTCTGCATCTGAAATGTTTGGGGTGTTTCAGGTTTCTGACTTTTTTTCAGATTTTGGAATATTTGCACTTCTGGAGCATTCCTAACCCCAAATCCAAACGTATGAAATGCTCCAGGGAGCACTTCCTTAGAGTGTCATGTTGGTGCTCAAAAAGTTTTGGATTTTGGCGCGTTTTAGATTTCAGATTAGGGCTGCTCGATCTGTATTTATAATAGTGAAAAACAGAAACTACTTGTGTATCCAACAGGAAAGCATTTAAGAAATGTTGGTATAGAAATTCCATGATGCATTAAGTAGTCATAAGTGATGAATAGGCAGCAACATGGAAAATGATAACAAAAACAGAATATATAATTATGTGCTCTGATGATAAATAGATACTATATATAGTAAATAAAAACCAAAAGGATGCTCAGAAAAAAATTAGTTGTGCTAGGGCAGAGTAACTATAAATACATTAAAATCATAATCTCATTCTCACAATATACTATGGAATTATACTCATTAAAATATACATTGAATAAAAATATAGACACAGAAATAAAAAGAAAACATAGCTGATATATGTGGTATATGTGTTTGCATGGTTAGTTTCCAGTATATACGATATTATTTTGTTAAATTATTAACTATTTGGTACTGGAGGAGGGGTGAAGGATATACATTTAGAGAGTATGATAAAAATCAATTTCTTATAATAACAACAGTTTACGAGAAATAAGGTTACACTAATAGGAAGATTTGTTGACAGAATTGCTATTGGATATGCGTTTAAATACAGGATCAACCGTCTTCCACTCTGCACTGCACATGTCACCTCCTCACATTCCCTCCATCCCATTCTCCGGACAAGAAAAGAGCTAAAGAAAAGGGCTGAGCTGCAGAATTCTCCTACTCCTTCAGTCTCTGCTTTAAGGCATCAGGCTATGGCCCAAGCATGTTCTCCAGCTCCAGAAAGCCTTTCTGTCTATTGCTGGGCAGGAAGAAGGTGTATTTGAAGAAACTGAATCTAATTTAGGGGTACTGCTTCCGTCTCATGAAGGAATAATGTCAAACTAGAAGATGTTCACCATGCGTCTCACACGTGCTCCTATTCACATCTCTCTAGCCTTGGTCTCATTGATAGTCTTAGGCAGTACATTTCTAACATCTGCTGCTTCAAAAAATCTC